TGATGGTGATGGTGATGGTGATAATGATGATGGTGATGGTGATGGTGATGATGGTGATGGTGATAATGATGGTGATGGTGATGATAGTGATGGTGATGATGGTGATGGTGATGATGGTGACAGTGGTGATAATGATGGTGATGGTGATAGTGGTGGTGATGGTAGTGATGGGATGACGGTAGTGATGATGGTGATCATAGTAGTGATTATACTGATGATGTGATGATGATAGTAATGGTAATGATGGAGATGGTGATGATGGTGGTGGTGGTGATAGTGAGTGTGATGACGGTGATGGTGATAATGATGGCGATGGTGGTGGTAACGATGGGATGATGGTAGTGATGATGGTGATGATGGTAATAATAGTGATGATGATGGTAATGGTAATGATGATGATGGTGATGGTGATGACGGTGGTGGTGGTGATGACCGTAATGGTGATAGTGATTATAGTGATGACAATCATGGTGGTGGTGACGTCAGTGGTGATAATGATGGCTCACATGTATGGAACACTCATTATTGGCTAGACACTATTGTGAGTGCTCCACATGAACTAACTCATTTAATCACAGCAATCCTGTGAATTGGTACTGTCATTACCATTTTATAGATGGGGAAACTGAGGCACAGACCCAGGTTAAATCACCCATCTGAAGTCACCCAGCTGGTAAGTGGAAGGACCAGGATTCAAAACCAGCTCCAGAGAAAACTGCCCTTTGATGACCTTTGCAAATGAACACAGTCTAAGAGCTTATAAAAAAGAATATGATGGGGAGGGGAGGATGCACATTATCTAAAAGGAATCAGCCTTTAGGAAGACAGCGAAGATAAGACAAACCCAGAGATCCCGGAGCCGAAACGTTCTCCCCTGCTGACGCCACCTTGAAGGGTTGGCTCACTGAGGGCTTCACTGCAGGCAGTTTGCAGAGGGCCAGGGTGTGTGTTTCTCCCCCTTGAACCATTTTGATGTGTGTAGATGGATATCCCTGGTTCCCATTCCTGAGTTTTGCAATGCTGATTTTGTGATTCTGCTGGCGTCCACAGAGGGGTCACCTCACAGCTGAGTGCCATGCAGTGGCTGTGGCAGCACCCCTCCACCCTCATCCAAGAGTGCAGCGAATCTCAACACCTCCCCACTCAGGACAAAACCCGCAAACACAAGGCACAGCCTGGTGGGCTGTTTGGACCCTGTGCCTTTCCCCACATTATGTGCTGTGAAGGAGTGTGCGTCTATCGGAATGCTAACGTGCACACGTAAACACACTCATGCACACACACACCTCACTCTGAGACCCCAGGTGTCCCAGCACGACGTGTTGCCAGGTGGCTGTGCTTCAGCCCCGGCTACCTTCCAGAGAAGGTGGGGACACAGGAAGGGCTGCCCCCAAGCAGGACCCGAACATCAAGCTCCCGGAGGAGGAGGAAGGCTGGAGCCCAGGTCACCTCCACCACTCTGTGCTGCGTGACTTTGAACCTCCTTGATCTCTCTGTCCTCCTCTGTGAAGTGGAGCAGCAGCCCCTGATGTGCCCTCTTCAGAGGCAACACAAGGATGAGAACCTGTGCCAAGCAAATCTCAGGGCTTGTTGTTATAGGACAGGGTCTTTCTGTCCCCAGACCCCACCCTGCCCCACTCCCAGGCTGCTGTGTAGGGGCTGACGGTCCAGGCAAGTCTCCAAGGAACAGGAGGAGGGAAGGGCAAGGGATGGGGGCGGGATGAGGAGAGGGGCTTCCTGCAGGATTCCTCAACTCACCTGCAGGGCAAAATATAACTTTTATTATTATATGATTGAAATGTCCATCTTTTGAGCACTTTCCCCAGGTAGACTCGACAGGGTCAGCCTGTTGCCCAGGCTGAGTACAGTGGTGTGATCACAGCTCACTGCAGCCTCGAACTCCTGGGCTCAAGCCATCCTCCTGCCTCCGTCTTCTGAGTAGCTGGGACCACAGGTGTGAGCTACCATGCCTGGTGATTCTCCTTGCAGGAGAATCAGAGCAGAAATTCAATTCCCTCCTTCCAGGGACAGAGTGAGGGGTGTATGTGGAGAGTGTGCCTTGGACCCTTAGATACAGAGTAAAGGACCAGAGGTCCTGCTGAGCCCCTGAAATGGGTCATCCCTTGGGTTGAATTGAGGGCTCCACTAACCTGCCTGAGACTGGGTCCACACCCACCAGCTCATCTTGTGGGAGAGACTGCGGCTGACTCCTCCGTGTGGCCGTTTCCTTCAGAGGACTTACATTTCCTTCTGGTCCCGGGTTCTGATGAAGTTATTAATCAGGGATCTGGAGGAGGCCGTGGCAGTGCTGTCGTGCCAGGACTGGCTGATCTGTCCGAGGCCGCCACCCCGGTGTCCGAAGAGGAGGCGGCGAGCGTCGTGGGGAGCGTGCACTACTCCGGTGCACGGCTCTGCGCAGTGAACAGTCTCTGAGTAATTAGTTTTTAAATAAGGCAGATGGTTCAAGAACCACCCACTCTGGGCTGCTTTAATTATTTATACCCCCTTTTTATTCTGATTATTCGTAGCTGTCCTCTTTGAAAGGGAAGGAAGATGTTTTTCTCTGATGGGCTCTCAGCATTGATTCAGCCACAACTTCTCCGAATCCCAGCGGAATCTGAGGCTTGCCCGGAAGTGGACGTGGGCACCATGGGGCAGGGCCCTGAACAGGACCCACGGAGAGCTGGCTGGGGGTGCTGAGGACTTTCTGTATCACGTGTCTGTGGGAGCCACCTCACCCTGCTAAAACCGGATGATGCTGCAGTGCCCTCCTGGGAGCACAGGGCAGAGGGTGCAGCAGGAGAGCCCAGGAGAACCACAAACCAGGGCTCTGGAGCTGCTCAGCTGGACCTGGAGAGGGAGCTGGCACCAGGGAGCTGGCGGCAGCCCTCCCTTCAGGGCTGTCGGGGGAGCTAACGTGATGACAAACAGAGAACCCAGTGCAGGCGTGCGCTGGCTCCGTGGTAGCTCTTGGCTTGGGTCAGAATTCATCCCGCCCAGGGCTCCTTCTTGCCTCTCTCCCCAGTGTCAAGTGATGACTAGATGGCGGTCCTGGTCCCCATGTGTCAGATGAGCTCACTGAGGCTCCGACAGTTAACCCCAAGCCCCAGTACACCCGGCAAAGCAGGCCTTTAGCCCAACCCCTGGGCTCCCATCCCACATTCTCTCCACCTGGCTGTGTTTCCAGGCCTAGGTGGACACCAGCAATCCCAGGAGCCCCTCGCCTCTGTCTTCAGCCCTCTCTCCCCTCCCCACCCCAACTCTGGCCTCTCGGGGGTTCCTTAATAAGCGATCTGATCTGTGAGGAATGACCTCCTGGACTCTTTCACATGGACCCAAATTCAAGAAATGCCAACTGAGTCAGGAGCGGTGGCTCACGCCGGGAGTCCTGGCACTTTGGGAGGCCAAGGTGGGAGGAGCACTTGAGGCAAGAGTATGAGCAACATAGAGAGACCCGACCTCTACTTTAAAAATTATTTGTTTATTTTTATTTTTTGAGACAGAGTTTTGCTCTTGTTGGCCGGCTGGAGTGCAGTGGTGTGATCTTGGCTCGCTAAAAGCTCAAACTCCCGGGTTCAAGTGATTCTCCTGTCTCAGCCTCCTGAGTAGCTGGGATTACATGGGATTGCAGGTGTATGCCACCATGCCTGGCTAATTTTGCTTTTTTATTTTATTTTATTTTTTTAGTAGAGACGGGGTTTCACCACTTTGGCCAGGCTGGTCTCAAACTTCCGATCTCAGGCGATCTGTCTGCTTCGGCCTCCCAAAGCGCTGGGATTTTAGGCATGAGCCACTGCACCTGGCCTACTTTTTATTTATTTATTTATTTTTTAATTAGCCAGGCATAGTGGCTTACACCTGTGGTCCCAGCTACTCAGAGGGCTGAGGCAGGAGGACTGCCTGAGCCCAGGAATTGGAGGCTGCAGTGAGCTATGATCACTCACTGCACTCCAGCCTGAGCAACAGAGGGAGATCCTGTCGAGTCTATGTGGGAAAAGTGCTCAAAAAATGGACATTTCAATATAGGGTCAAGGAGTGACTTTGTGCCTGACCCTCCAAGCTCCAGGAGACCTTCGTGTGTGTGACCCTGAGGGCTGGCGGGCAGGTGCTCAAAAGATGCTTTGCCCATCACAAGCCTGAAGGCAGAGACCGGAGACTCGATGGGAAAGAGGGGAGAGGCATGAGCGGGAAGGAGGGAGCCAGTCCTCGGCCCCTATTCTCTCTTGGTTTACAAGAGACTATCCCCATGTGGGAAGCAGAAAACTTCCTCTTTAAAGTTTCATTTCTTGTTAAAGAATAAGTGTGCCAATAACTTTTTTAAGCCCAATAACATGCAGCTGTTAGACACGCCGTGCTTACAGGCACGTAGTACATTCTATGTCCTTGTACTTTAACCAAGATACCTGTGCTGGACGTGCTCACAGGTGTGTCCCAGCTCTCCATTGCTTTTACCTGTTTAGGAAAGTTTTAAGGTATTAGCCAATCAAGTTTTAAATTGTGAGGTCTGGCTCCAGCCCAGGGAGATCAGACACAGCAGGAAAGAAGACCCGAAATGCGTAAGGGATACATTTGTCTGTTTTTCTTTGTTCATTGTACTCTGTGGCAAGATGGCTACGAGGGTATCCTTCCTGCAGCCCAGGAAGTAGAAAGTCCGTTGCTGAAAGATCCTTTGTCTTAGTGCTGATTTTTCTTTGCAGCATCGAGCATCTACTTCCGGCATCTATTTCCAGCACCAGCATGGGCTTCTGAGCCATCCCAGTTGCTTCCTGCTCCTTCAAGGTGAGTTTGCCGAGCACCAGGCACCTCTCTCATCTGGGAGGGGGACAGGGATGGCTCAGCCAGTCGCCGCATGGACACCCCCCCACACACACACAAGCCTCCAGCTGCAGCCCAGGTGACAAGTAAAAATTTAGAAATCGTCATTTCATTCCGTACGTTGATATGACAAAGTACTGTAGAGCTATTAAAATTGTTCTCAAAAAATAATTTAGATTATCAAATGATGTGCACCATCAGAGTTTAACTGAGGAAAAACAAAAATAACAAATGTTTGCAAAAGCGTTTCATTTTAACTCCCACGTGCAGGCAGGCTGACGGAGGAGGTCCGGGCTTTCTTGTTCTTGCTTTTCTCTATTTTCCCAGCATTCTACAAAGGGCAGGCATTGCTTCTACTATCAAAGAAGAGCCAGAGCATTTAACTTTTTGCATTTTACTGAAGGCCAAGGCGTTCAGGAGGAGCAGGGAGCCTGGTGGTGCAGGGTTGGGTGGGCAGTGCCCAGAGGTCTGCAGCCCAGCCCAGCCTGGTGTAGCCTGGAATCAGCCCAGGGAACGCAGCTTACCTGGGACTCTCCAAGGAGGACCCAAAGATTTAGGCTCCTTCCAGATGACATTTTAACCAATGACTGCTCCTGTGCAGGCACCAGGCCAACGTCGCCACCTATGTTCTGCTCCTCCAGCCCCTCCGGCCCCTCCGGCCCCTCCTGGTCATGCCTTGAGGCAGCTCCAACATCTGTAAAGCATTCCTCCTCCAGGGCAGGAAACATACCTGGGGCCTCCACAGATTCCCACCACTCAGGACACGAGCTGGGCCCAACCTCGGTGGAAGCCTCTCCCCACTTTGCTTCCAAAAGGGCAGGAAGGGAGGGGAGGAGAGAGAGGAGTCGGGTGGCAGGAGGAGGCAGGGGCGCTCTGCTGGGCTCTGCTCTTGAAGCCTGCTCTACCTACCTTTCCACCTACCCAGAGAACTTCACCTGGACTCCCTGCTGGAGCAGAAAAACACTGGCCACTTTCTGGGAGTGTGCAGGGTGGGACCCTTATGCACACAGAGTGCATTCGAAACCTTCAGGGGATACGCCTTCCTCCCCTTCCAGTCTCCTGGACAGCCCCCCAGCACGTCCAAAACCACATCCAGCAGGATTTAGAGCAATGCATGGGGACCAGTTCCTCCCAGTTACTGCAGTGATAAGGACACCACCACCCCAGGACCAGGGCTGGGGGGAACATCACATGGGCTTTTTTTTTTTTTTTGAGATGGATTCTGGCTCTGTCACCCAGGCTGGAGTGCAGTGGCGCCATCTCAGCTCACTGCAACCTCCTCCTCCCGGGTTCAAGTGATTCTCCTGCCTCAGCCTCCTGAGTAGCGGGGATTACAGGCGTATGGCACGATACCCAGCTAATTTTTGTATTTTTAGTAGAGACAGGGTTTCACCACGTTGGACAGGCTGGTCTCGAACTCCTGATCTCAAGCGATCCACCCGCTTTGGCCTCCCAAAGTGCTGGGATTATAAGCGTGAGCTTTTGAGCGTCTTCCTGGGGTATTTCTTTCTGGCATTTCCCATTGTACATGCTATTTTTGTAGTCAGAAAGTAGTGTTTTAAAATGGGAGAGAGTTGATCAGGCACGGTGGTTCATGCCTGTAATCCCAGCACTTTGGGAGGCCGAGGTGGGCAGATCGCTTGAGGCCAGCAGTTCAAGACCAGCCTGGCCAACATGGCAAAACCCCATCTCTACTAAAAATACAATTAACTGGGCGTGGTGGTAGGTGCCTGTAATCCCAGCTACTTGGGAGGCTGAGGCAGGAGAATCGCTTGAACCTGGGAGACAGAGATTGCAGTGAGCCCAGATGGCGCCACTGCACTCCAGCCTGGGAAACAGAGCAAGACGCTGCCTCAAAACAGTAAAATAAAATGGGAGAGCGGACGTGCACATCTACGCATAGGCTCTGAGCACAGCACTGGGTTCCCATCGGGCTTTCTCCGGGGCGCATCCAGGTGGAGCTGGGTGGAGCTTACCCGCCAGCATCCTCCCTGGGCCCCTGAGCCCCAGGGCATGCAGGGTCTCCTACAAGGCTGGGTCCAGAAAAGCCCAAATCCTGCTTGTTGATTTTAATTTCTTTCCTGGCTTCAAACCTTTCGGCCTGGAGCAGGGGAGGAAGCAGGGACACCAGGTCTCCGCAGCCCCCATGAGATTCCCCACTTCCAGTGCAGGAGCTCAGAGCCAGTGCGAGAACCAGGCCTGTTCTCCCGGCCTTCCTGCTCTCCTTGGGTCTCTCCGTGGGGTTCAAGCGATTCTCCTGCCTCAGCATCCCGAGTAGCTGGGATTACAGGCATGCACCACCACACCCAGCTAATTTTGTATTTTTAGTCGAGACGGAAATTTTGTATTTCCTCCATGTTGATCAGGCTGGTCTTGAACTGCCGACCTCAGGTGATCCGCCCATCTCGGCCTCCCAAAGCGCTGGGATTACAGCCATGAGCCACTGTGCCCAGGCTCAACCTTACTTCTTAAGCTCACCTGCACAGAAAAGCTCACTCAGCCAAGGCTCTGAGTTCTAATCTACTTGGAGCCAAGTTCTCTTGGAACGAGTTAGGTTGGCATAAAATAACTATCAAATACCGACCAGTCCAGAGTTCAATCTAATATACATTTCCAAAAGAAAAACTTATTTTCAGCAAGGCACAGTGGCTCATACCTATAATCCCAACACTTTGGGAGGCCAAGGCAGGAGGATCATCTGAGGCCAGGAGTTTGAGATCAGCCTGGGCAACATAGTGAGATCCCATCTTTACAAAAAAATCAAAAAGTTAGCCAGGTGTGGTGGTGCACGCCTGTGGTCCCAGCTACTCGGGAGGATCGTTTGAGCCTGGGAGGTAGAGGCTGCAGTGAGCTGTGATCGTGCCACTGCACTCCAGCCTGGGTTACAGAGCAAGACCTTGTCTCAAAAAATAAAACAAAAACTTACTTTCAAGGATACACTAACTAGAAGCAGCTCACAGCGCCCCCTGTGGACGCCCTTCAGACCTCCCCCTTTAATGAAAGTGTCCTGATTTGTCATTTGCTTTTCAGTCATCTCTGTCAATCGGTGCTTCTCAAGCCTTGGGAACCCTTACCCCAGGTAGATTAAACAATCCCTCAGCAATTGCCCTGGTGCTGTCCTCACTCCTCCAGTGCTCTGGAATTATCAGTTCTCAGGGAGTTCATTTGTTTTAAATCTTAGGAGTCTGAATTCAGGATCGAACCTGTCCTGACCTTTTCTTGCCCAAGCCTCCCCTTCACCTGCAGCTGATCCCAATGCCCAGAGAACTGCACTCCGGGGGTAGAAGAAACATTCTTACTCCGGAGCCTTCTGGGTTTCTGCATTTGAAACATTTATTTCAGGAAATACATTTTCAACATTTTGTAGTTTATACAAAAAGAGACAAATTTCTTGGGAGGCACGTAGCAAAAGGCCGTTGAGGATCAGAGCCTGATGAAACGAACAATTTTCAAGGTCTGGTTACAGAGAAGGACAGTGAAGCATCTCAAGGCTGGGATGCTACCGCCCACCCCCCACCCCACCCTGCCACCAAGTGACACTGAGGCTGGGAGGGCCACATGGCCTGGTGCCACTCATTTCCTTCAAAATCTTGGTTTTGGCAAAAACATGGCAAGTTGGCAAGTAAACTGTCCCGCCAATGAGGCTGGTGGGGAGTCCTTCCTCTCTTGGATGGGGAGGGAGTCAGACACCCAATGCCCCGACTTCCAGGCACACTCACACTCCTTCCCATTGCCCTTCTTCTGGCAGCGAGCAGCCAGCCTGGGACCTGCAGATGCACCCAGTGATAGGCGCACCCATGTGGAGTCCCATCAGGCCCCTCCTTCTCCCCAGGAGTGAGACAGGGAACAGGAAGCAGGAGGGGACTTTGGTCTGCTGTGCACCACAAAGGCAGCCCCCATGGGTCCCCTCCTGGGGATGGAAGGTGAGGGGCCAGGCCATGCTGCCACAAACCTTGCTCTTCAGCTCACTGTGGACTATGCAGCCCTGACCCTGCCTCTCCTTCCTAGGGGGTCATTACCGTGGGCTCTAGTGGGAGGGCCCCAGGCCCAGGTAGGACAAGGAGTCAGGCTCACCAGGCCTCCAACCCACCCAGGTCACAGAGTCAGCAAGGCCTGGGCCAGGAGGGGTGAGTGGCGGGGGTGGCTGGCTGGGCACTAATGTAACCACAGCCCAGTCTTGGGCCAAACCAGACACTGTACGGACGGACGGACACACACATGGACACACACACACTTCCCTGGTCACTTGGGTGGGGCAGGCACTGGGCAGCTCAGGCCACTATGACCACCCCAAGCCACAGCCCACACGTGCCCCCGCCAACCTTCCTTCTGGCACCTTCCATGGCTCCCTCCCTCAGGCTCTCCACCAGACTCACTCGCTTGGACCTTTTCAAAAATGGGTGGCAAGGGGGTGGGGGTCGTCTTTCCTTCCTTTTTATCCTCAGTCAGATCCCAGCACATCAGCAGCACCTGCAGCCCTATGGGAGGGGTGGTGTGGGGGGAGCGGGGAAATGAAGACGCCTCCCTCATTCCAGCCTGTCCCCACACCTGGCCGAGCAGCCTGCGGACGGCTGAGATAAAGGCACTTTCTGCTCCAGGGCGGGTTTGGGGCGGGCAGCTGCCAGGGGCCTCGAGTGGCTGAGCTGTCAGTGGCGTGGAACCCTGGAATTTTCTACCCTTAGGAGTAGGGCAGGGGTGGGGAGTGAGTGACGGCCATGCCACATGGCAGGCAGGGGGTCCAGGTGCCCCTGATTGGCTCCATTCTCCCCTGGGCCCTGACTCATTCCAGGGGCCAGGGCTGATGGGGATGTAGCCCACCGGGTCCCTCTGCATATTTGAGGCCTGGCCCCCACCCAAGGCCCCCGGCACTGAGAAATGCACCCGGACGGATGATCAGCACAGGGAAGCTACTCGGGGAGCCAGGCCTGGGGACGGAGGGTGGACCTCCCCCAGACCTCGGGGAGGCCATGGGCTCATCACTGACTGACTCGGAGGGAGGCCCCTTCCCTTGTTTCCTGGCAGCGTGTCGAAGGGATGGGGAACGATGACAAATGGAGAAAATCATATAAAATAAAATGGGGCGGTGGGAGGGCCTGGGAGGGACGGAGAAGGCTTGGGGGCAGGGTCCCGGGGGCGGGCAGGGTGGCGTCTACATCTCCGGGGCTTCTGGCTCCTTCTCCTCCACGCCATTGGCCATGGTGCTGCTGCCCTCATTGAGGCGCTTCACGCGGTAGGCTTCGAAGTGGATGCTGCTGGTGATGTCCTTGATGTTCTGCATGTGCGTCCTGGGGGGGCGGGCGGGTCAGTGAGGTGGGGACAGCAGGGCCAGGGCAGCTGAGCAGGGGTCCTGCTCAGCCTGCCTGGGCTCAGGCCTGCCTGCTGTTCCCGACTCTGCATCCCGACTGCTTGGCTCCCCGTGGGGTCCCCCAGGCCCACATGTTGGACCAGATATGGGACAAGGTTGGGGAAAGGGTCAGTGCCCTGGTAAGCCCAGACGCACTCAGAATACACACTCCAATGCATGTGACTCCCTCTGGGTCCACCCTATGGCTGGTCCAGGACCTGCCCAGGGACAGAGAGCTGGGTGCTGGGTGCACAGACTCAGAGGGGCAGGCCTAGAGTGTCCTTGCTCCAGCCCAGTGTCCAGGGTGCTGGCAGGGAGGAGGCAGTGGCTGACTGCCAGCCTCCAGGGCTATGGCCTGGGATGAAGGGCTGGATCGCCCTTGTCCCCAGGAAAAAAAAGTCCTGAGCTCAGACTTTCATTCCTTTGCAGCTCAGGAGGAATAATTTGGAGGGAGGTTGGAAAGCCCAGTCTCTACACAATGGCTCCCGGGATCCCCCGCCCCTTCCCCTGCCAACCTGGGGGCCCTCCTCTTAACAGCAGTCCCATCATCCATGGCACCTGCTTGCTGAGGAAGAACCTAGGAACCCCTGACACCCCAGTAGGAGGCCCCCACCCTCTCCAATCACCTGCCTAGGCCAGGGCCCACACTCCAGGGACCACCCACCTGGTACCCTCTCTAACGGGGCTTCCTCCCCTTGCCCGGACTCAAGGGAACCAAGGAGAAGCCTCAGCCAGGTCAAGGGGTAGGGGTCAGAGGCCACTGGGATCAGAACTGGGGACGTCCCATGCTGCCGGCAGGGCCTGCACTGGGCTCTTGGTGCCCACTGGGCAGCTCTAACAGGCCAGGTCACAGTGGATCCAAGCTCAGTCCTCCCATCCAGGTGGCTTCGTAGGGGTTAAAAAGGATCTTCATTACTGGCTTCATTTCCCAGTGGGTTTTCTTTTTAGAAGATGGGCTTCCAAGGTCTTCCCAAGGGCAGGGCAGGCAGGTGGCAGGGTGCGCCCACTCCGAGCAGGTCCTCAGCCCCACACCCACTGCCCCCACCTGCTATAGGGCCCTCTCAGGGGCAAAGCCGTCAGCCCCACCCGAGCACCTTGTCTCTTACCTGATGAGAAGGTCCCGCAGGTAGGCAAACTCACAGTGTGTGGTGTTTTCAACTAGGAGAAGAGATAGGAGGGGCTTTAATGTCCCAGTGGAGAAGCTCTGCCCGGACCCCGCCTCTCTGCTCCTGCCCAGGAACGCAGATGCTGAGAGCAGAGACTGAGGACAGCCCCGTGGGCAGGAGGGCAGGGGAGCTGCCTGCTCTGCAGCTGAGCATGGGACACCTGGGACGCTCTCAGTCCGTGGGATACTGGGGTGACCAGTATCAGCTCCTGCTCTCCAGAAAGCTCCGGGCTAACGGGAGATGGCACAGTGACCAGGCCAAACACACACATGGGAGAAAGCCACAGCGCAGAAGCCAGGGCACCACTGGGTGGCCAGGGAGAGCAGGACATCCCAGCAGAGACCTGGAGACAGGCAGGGGGCTGGGCTGCTGGAAATGGGATGAGGCAGGAATCAGAGCTGGGGTTTTTAAAGAAAACCCGTAGCCCATGGGGTGTTACCCCACCCGGCCCTGTCCACCTTGTTTAGCACTGCTGATTCTTGAGCTTGTGAATGGTTATCCACAGTAGGTAGCCTCTGTGTGTGAACACGTGTGTCCTGTGTGTGAGTGCTCTGAGCACAGGCAGGGACACATGCACTTCATACATGCACAAGAAACAGAGAGAGAGAGAGAGAGACAATGGGGCACAGAGAACACAAGAACTGTGTTTTGTCTGAGTTCCACAGCCGTAAGGCTGGAGGGGGATTCAGAACTCACACACCAGGCTCCAGGCTGCCCCATCAGGGAGCCACGTGGATTTTCCCCAAGTTAAAAATATCTGGTTTTAGGCTGGGCATGGTGGCGCACACCTATAATCCCAGCACTTTGGGAGGCCGGGTTAATCATGAGGTCAGGCGTTCAAGACCAGCCTGGCTAAGATGGGGAAATCCTGTCTCTACTGAAAGTACAAAAAATTTAGCTGGGCATGGTGGCAGGCACCTGTAATCCCAGCTACTCGGGAGGCTGAGGCAGGAGAATCGCTTGAATAGGGGGAGGGTGCGGAGGTTGCAGTGAGCTGAGATGGTGCCACTGCACTCCAGCCTGGGCAGCAGAGTGAGACTCCATCTCAAATTAAAAAATATATATATATATATATATATATACACACACACATATACACACACATGTTGTGTATATATATGTATATGTATATATGTGTGTGTGTACATGTATATGTACATATGTGTGTATGTGTATATGTACACATGTATGTATATGTATATATACACACTATGGTTTCTACTTGGCAGGCCAGCAGGCAGGGCCGGGGCCTCCACATTGCCCCCTCCGCCCTCAAGTGCTCTTGGTTCTACGCCAGTTGCCTTTGCCTGGGCCCTTCCCCCCCACCACGGCCTGCGCAGGGCCGTGTCCACATGAGGACCTCCTGCAGATGGACAGGCAGAACTCTCATCTAACTCTGAGGGCAGCGAGAGCCGGCAGGAAGAACGGAGCTCTCGAGCTGAGTTGGAGTGTGTGGTCGCTGCTCCCTGGCTTGGGCAAGTTACTCTCATTCCCTCAGTTTCCTCATCCATAAAATGGGGATAATAACATCACCTACTTCTCAGGGACATAAGATTCAATGAGTTCATGGCGTGATTAATTACACCCCACGCTTCTACTGACAATACTTGGGGTGGTTTCTAAGGAAGGGAAAGATGCCCTTCACCAAGTGGGAGACAAGAACGAGCCAGGGCCCTTACTAGCCAAGCGTCAGGTCAGCTGTGAACTCAGGTGGCCCCGATATAAAAACCCGTCCGTGTTAAAGGCACATTTCCAGGGTCCTCATATAAGGCTGCTGAAATGTGGGCCCCACCACCTCACAACTGTCCTGACAGGTTCCAGACTGTTCCTCAACTGGAGCCAGTGGCGCTCCACAAGGCACAGGTCAGAGAGCTGCAGGGACCCCAGCCTCGTGCATTTCCAGACAGTTTCAGGCACCGGCCGCCTGCAATACTCAATGTTGGCCACCAGGGTGCAGCAGACGCACGCCCATAGCAAAGCCATCGGCGCCTCCCAGGCCCATCTACTCCAGGCTCTCCTAACCCTGCCTTTCATAAAAAGGTTCCTAAACAGCAAGAATTCTTTGGGCAGACGGGAAGAGAGGAAATGCAGGTGGAGGGGCCAAGGGGACACAAGCCAGCCTGACACCACAGGTGGATACTGGTAAACACCCAAGCTGCACCCAGCTGGGCAGCTCCCTCAGGGTGGGCCTGGCAGGGGTGGCGGCAGGGGAGGAGGGCAGACGGGGAATGGCTCCTGTGCCTCTCCACACCCGCCTCCAGGCACGAACTCCCATCTCCAGGGAGTCGGGAGCAGGGCTGGAGCTGTGCATTCTAGGGCTGCCTCCCGTTCTAGGTCCCTTGGAAAGTTTTCTGCTCACTGCTCCTCTTGAACCTCTCCTCTGCACGGAGGGTTGGTGCGGGGAGCTCCAGGCATAAATGAGATGACCCATGTCAAGTGAGCGGCGCGGGAGCATTCGACACCTCCTGGTAACTGTCATTATGACCATTTTCTTGGAGCAACAGCTTCCTGAAAAGCTCTAATGGCCTTTGGGACAGTCTGTCAACTCACTACAATCTTGGCACACTGCACCCACGTTGTGGATGATGAAAACTGAGGCCCTGGAACACTAAGAGACTTCTGCTTCCTGCTCTACTGGGCCTTTCAGCCACGTGCTTTCCCAGAACAAAGTGGCTTTTCCTGCTCCGTTTCCCTCTGCACCTTCCCCTCTTCCATTCTAATGAGAAAGGAAGGCACAGAGAAAGGAAAAGGAAGGAAACGTTCAGGCTCATCCCTCCTGGAGTGCCACTACCAGGAGTGGGTTGAACTGTGGCCTCCCAGGGGCTCCCGTCATTCAAAGACATGGTCAAGGTCCAGGCTTTGGTACCCATGACTGTGACCTTACTTGGAAAAGGGCTTTCTTTAAAGATTAATTAAGGATCTCCAGATGGGATCATCCACTTAGGGGAGGCCCTAAGCCCAAAGACAGGCATCCTTAGAACAAGGAGGAAAGAGGCCAGGCGTGGTCGCTGACACTTGTAATCCCAGCACTTTGGGTGGCCAAGGTGGGTGCATGACCTGAGGTCAGGAGTTTGAGACCAGTCTGACCAACATGGCGAAACCCCGTCTCTACTAAAAAGGCAAAAATTAGTCAGATGTGGTGGCGCATGCCAGTAATCCCAGCTACTTGGGAGGCTGAGGTAGGAGAATCACTTGAACCGGGAGGTGGAGTTTGCAGTGAGCCAAGATCACACCACTGCACTCCAGGCCTGGGTAACACAGCAAGACCCCATCTCAAAAAAAAAAAGAGGACGAAGGGAGGGAGGGGACAGAGACACAGGGAAAAAGGCCCTGTGACAATGGGGCAGAGATTAGAGCGTGTGATGCCTTTACAAGACAACGCCGACTTCGTAGAGCCACCAGCAGGAGGAAGGCACGGAAGAGG